TGTGTGTGTGTGTGTGTGTGTGTGTGTGTGTTGGGGGGATGGGGATAATGTACCAACCATGCCTGAATTTTTTTCTCTTTTCATTACTGGAAATCAAACTCAGGGCCTTACATATGCAGAGTAAGGCCTCTGCCATTGAGCCACACCCTCACCCTGCTTTCTTTTCATTAATAACATTAATTTAATAACATTAAATAACATTAATTTAATAGCATTATCTGAGTGAATTTAAGCTCAAAGAGACTTTTTTTTTCTGTACAGAGCTTATTTCTGCCATTATCAGGTCTTATATTCTTAGTGTCTTATATTCAAAAAGTACTCTAGGGCTAGGGATTCACTCAATGGTACAGTGGTCAGTTAGCATATAGAAGACTCTGAGATCGATCCCCAGAATCAGACAAAATACACAAGATTTCCAGAATAATTCAATATTTCCTAGGAAAGCCAGTGTTAAGCTGCTGCTAAGAAAGGCATTTTTTATATAGAGTTTGTCTCGTGGTAGGTTGACCTTGCTCCAGTGGATGGTCCTACACCCGGGTATGCAGGTGGTACTAATTGGACTCTTGGGATATTTTTTAAAAAAGAAAAATAGGAAGTTAAAAGAGGGCCATGTTGTGAGGAGCTAGAGCAGGAAGGAAAATGGTTATGATTAAATGTATTTTATTCTTGAACGAAATTCTCAAAGTAAATAAAAAATACTATTTTTAAAAATTGGTAGCTGGGCGATGGTGGCGCACGCCTGTAATCCCAGCACTCAGGAGGCAGAGGCAGGCGGATCTCTGTGAGTTCGAGACCAGCCTGGTCTACAAGAGCTAGTTCCAGGACAGGCTCCAAAGCAACAGAGAAACCCTGTCTCAAAAAACAAAAAAATAAAAATTGGTGTTTGAGTCAGGCACAACACACATGATAATCCCTTCCAGCACCAGAGAAGCAGGGGCAACAGAATCATGAGTTTAAGATAACTTAGGTTACTTAGGCAAGACCTTATCTCAACACAGAACAGAAATGAAGTTAATTTGCTTTTAACTTGGGTTTTTGAATCTTTTCTTTTTCCTCCATAACTCTGTGAAGAGGCATTACATAGTTTGGGAGAGTGCAACTGGGCTGGGTTTGTTTTGTAACAGCAATGCCCCTAGAGGTACAACAATCCACTGAAGTTGACTCTTATTACAGACTGGGGAATGTCACCCAGAGGAATTCTCCCCACCCACTATTATATTGTGGGGACAATGAGCCAGTAGATCATTCACTCCCTGGATTCTTTTTTGTTTTAGTTTTGTTTTTTTCTAGGTGTCTCTGTGTGGTCCCTGGATTTCCTAGAACTTATTCTGTAGAGCAGGCTGGCCTCAAGGTCAGAGATCTGCCTGCCTTTGCCTCCTGACTACTGGGTATTAAAGGCGTGCACCACCACTGCCCACTTTCTCTGTTTCTTTTCCTTTCCTTTCTTTTCCTTTCCTTTCTTTTCCTTTCCTTTCCTTTCCTTTCCTTTCCTTTCCTTTTCTGGTTTTTCAATACAGGGTTTCTCTGTAGCTTTGGAACCTGTCCTGAAATCGCTCTTGTAGACCAGTCTGGCTTCGAACTCACAGAGATCCGCCTGCCTCTGCCTCCTGAGTGCTGGGATTAAAGGTGTGGCCTGGAGAATTGGCTCATTGGATCATTTACTACTCTCAAAGAGGACATGAGTTCAGTTCCCAGCTCCAGGGCAACCCCATGTTTTTGGTCTCTGTGGGCTCATACATAAATTAAAAATTGAACTAGCGGGCTGGAGAGATGGCTCAGCAGTTAAGAGCACTGACCGCTCTTCCAGAGTTTCTGAGTTTAATTCCCTGCAACCATATGGTGGCTCACAGCCATCTATAATGAGATCTGGTGCCCCCTTCTGGCGTGTGAACACACATGTAAGGAATGCTGTATGCATAATAAATAAATAAATCTTTAAAAAAAAAATGAACTAACAGTTGGGTGGTGGTGATGGTGGTGCACATTTTTAATCCCAGCATTTGGGAGTCAGAGGCAGATGGATCTCTGAGTTCCAGGACAGCCAGGACTACACAGAGAAACTCTGTTGAGGGGAGGAGGGTGGTGGGGATTGAGCTAGCAACTGTGAAGATAGGTCTGTGGGTAAAACTGCTTGCCAAAGAAGCTTAAGAACCTGAATTTAAATCCCCAGAATACACATGAAAACCATATGTGTAGTATTAGTCTCTATAATCCCGGGGTTTTAGGGTTACTACTGCTGTGATGAAACACCATGACCAAAAGCAGCTTGGGGAGGAAAGGGTTTGTTTCACTCACAGTGTCATTTAACAGTTCATCATCAAAAGCACTGATTGCAGGAACTGGTGCAGAGACCGTGAATGTGTGCTAGTTACTGGCCTGCTTGCTGCCCAGCTTTCTTACAGAATTGAGGACTACCAGCCCAAGGGATAGCACTATCCACAATGGGCCCCATCAGTCACTCATTAAGGAAATGCCCTACAGGCAGATATTATGGAGGCATTTTCTCAATTGAGGCTTTCTCCTTTCAGATAACTTGTGTCAAGTTGACATAAAACAGCCAGCATATTCAGTGTCCCTGTGAGGAGATGGAAGAGGGAAACATTAGAATCTCTGGAAGCTTGTAGGTCAGCTAGGCTGCTATACACAGCAACAACAACAGAGACCACACACACACAAAGAAGCCATTCTTAAGATGAGAAGGCAAGGGCCAGTGCCCAGAGTTACCATCTAAAGTCTGCGTGCACTGTGACGCAGTGGTACACACATGCCTGTGTTTTCCTGCACAAATGCACATGTCACTGTATTGCATGTTTTGACAGTTAAAACACTGGTCAGTAGGGGCTGGAGAGATGGCTCATTGGTTAAAAGCACTGCCTGCTTTTCCGGAGAAGCCAAGTAAGTTTTCAGTACCTAAACACAGAGAAAATAAGCGTATGGAGCAGTCTCGGCTCCTTGTGCAGTCTTAGCACATTGTCATCCTTTATGCAGTCTGCGCCACGGTGGCTACTTTGTTCATTGCTGGTCTGATACCTGCCAGGAAAGCTGGAAGAATTTGGTTTTGGTTTTTTGTTTGTTGTTTGTTTGTTTCGAGACAGGGTTTCTCTGTAGCTTTGGAACCTGTCCTGGAACTAGCGCTTGTAGACCAGTCTGGCCTCGAACTCACAGAGATCCGCCTGCCTCTGCCTCCCAAGTGCTGGGATTAAAGGCCTGTGCCACCACTGCCCAGCAAGAATTTGTTTTTGACAGGAGATAGTCTGGCATGACAGGAAGGCGTGGCAGAGTTCCTGGGGGTGGCAGAGGGCTGTGGGATTCCTAACATCTGGGCAGACTTAAGAGCAGAGAGCAGGAAATGTTGGCGTTCTCAGAATTTCTCTATTTACCCCGCTTTTTCGTCAGTCTGGAGCTGAGGTGATGCCAAACACCTGAGAGACCTCATTCCTTATTTAAATCTCTCAAAAGTATTCATTAGGTGATGGGTTTTGTTTTTGTTTGTTTTTGTTGTTATTTTGCTTTTTTGATTCAGGGTCTCTCCATACAGTGCCATCTGTCCTGGAACTAATTTTATAGACAAGGCTATTCTCAAACTAAAGGAGATCTACCTGTCTCTATCTCCCCCCACCTCTCCTACAAACTCAGGGGTAAAAGAAATGCAGTCCTGTGCCTGGCTTCCTGACTATTCTACATCCAGCCAAGTTGACAAGAATAAGCACCACTGAACAGATGTTGGGTTTTTTGTTTTATTTTGTTTCTTTTTAATGTATTTATTAATTATGTATACAGTATTCTGTCTGCATGTATGGTGCAGACCAGAAGAGGGCACCAGATCTCATTACAGGTGGTTGTGAGCCACTATGTGGTTACTGGGAATTGAACTCAGGACCTCTGGAAGAGTAGTCAGTGTTCTTAACCTCTGAGCCATCTCTCCAGCCTTATTTTGTTTCTGAAGCAGAGTTTCTCTGTGTAGTTCTAGCTGTCCTGAAACTTGCTCTGTAGACCAGACTGGCCTCTTATCTCAAAGGGATCTGCTTGTCTCCTCTGCCTCCCAAGTTCTAGGATTAAAGACATACACCACCACAACCCAGCTTGGTTTGTTTTTTTTTTTAATTTAAAATTTTCATTTTATGTGTAGTAATGTTTTTGTCCGTGTACCATGTGCATGCAGTGCCTACAGAGGCCAGAAGAGGGCATTGGATCCACTGGAAGAACTGGAGTTAGAAAAGTTTGTGAGTGCTGAGAATTGAAGTTGGGTCCTTTGGAAGAATAGCCAGCACGCCTAACTGCTGAGCCATGTCTCCAGTTAAGAAAGTAACTTTTAGGACTCATGCTTTTTATTTTTTTGTTTTAATGAACATTGATTGGTGTTTTGCCTGCATTTGTGTCTGTGTGAGGGCATCAGAGCCTCTGGAATTGTAGTTAAAGACAGCTGTGAGCTGCCATGTGAATCCTGAACCTGGAGCAGTCAGGGCTCTTAACCACTGAGCCTTCTCTCCAGCCCTTGTTTTGGTGTTTTGAAACAGGGTTTCTTTGTGTAGCCCTGGCTGTCCTGAAACTAGCTTTTAAGATTTATTTATTTTTTTGTTTATGTGTGTGGATGTAAGTTACGTGTGTGCAAGTATCTTGGAGACTAGAACAAATTAGATCCCTTGAAACTGGACTTACAGGTGGTTTAAGTTACCTGATGTAGGGGGCTGGAGAGATGGCTCAGTGGTTAAGAGCATTGCCTGTTCTTCCAAAGGTCCTGAGTTCAAATCCCAGCAACCACATGGTGGCTCACAACTATCTGTAATGAGGTCTGGTGCCCTCTTCTGGCCTGCAGACAGAATGTTGTATACATATAAATAAATAAATATTTTTTAAAAAAAAGTTACCTGATGTAGGTGCCGGGTACTGAACTCTCATCCCTGCAAGAGCAGCAAGTACTCCTAACCACTGAACTATCTTGCCAGTCCCATGTTCATTTAAAACAGAGTGATGAAATGACCTTTCTACTTCAATTATAGAGTTGAAACTGTGGGGCAGCCAGACAGAAGAGACAGTATAGGAGTGTGCGCAGAAAAGCAGAACGGCTATGACTCTCTGCAGCGGGATCAAGCTGTGTGCATAAGCACAAATGGTAAGACACTCTGACTGCGCTGGGACTGACCTGAATGAAAGTCACCTCCCCAAACAAACCTCACACAAACTAGCTAAGGCTGGTCGGTTGTCTCAGCAGATAAAGCCCTTGCCATGCAAATCCAACAACCTGAGTTTAATCCTGGAACCCACATTTACATAAACATCGTACATACATAACAAGTATTTTTAGCCCCTCACTGCATAGTATTTATGCTTTCAAAATCACTCCCCAGATCCAGGCATGGTGGCACACACCTATAATCCCAGCATTTAGGAATTTAATACCAATCTGGGATGTTTTTTCCCCTCCATTTCTGGGGGAAGAAAATGAATAAATGACTCCTAAGCTAACATTAATATTTTGTGGCATAAGATCAAACATTAGATAGACCAAGATTCTTGTTTATTGCATATGAAATTGTATTGCTGTTGAGAGCTGAGCTCTGTGGTGTTTCTTTCTATGCAGTTCTCATGGGAAACTCATAGACTATCCTGGAAAATTCCAACCTCATACCAGAATTCTGAAATGTCATAAAAACTTGGATTTTGGCTCTGGCTGTGGGAATGCGGGTTATTCTCTATTTAAGTTCATTAATAATATCCGATTTTCTGGAGTTTCTTTTTCTGAAGTAGGGATCAGTAATCTAGAAGTTGTTTTGATTCTCTCAGTCATTGCTCTTGGGTGAATGTCTCCTAACGTCTTAGGTGCAGTTTTTGTCAATGGAAAAGAAATGACTAATCAGTTGCCTGCGGTTACCTCTGGGTCCACTGTCACATTTGACATCGAAGCTGTGACTCTAGGAACTGCCAACAGCAGTGAAGGAGGCGGTGTCAAGCTCCGAGTAACCATCAGCTCCAGTAACAGGGAGGTGGTGTTTGATTGGCTGCTTGACCAGTCCTGCGGCTCTCTTTACTTCGGATGTTCATTTTTCTATCCTGGATGGAAAGTGCTGGTGTTTTAGCATTTTGAGGGCTTGGCTTTGGTTTGCTGTTTCTGTCCTCAGCCGAGTTGGATCTGACTTTAAAAAGGTGAATTATCTCTTGGACCACCAGAAATGGAAAGTGTTGCTGGATTTGCATTGTAATATTTCAGTAAGAGACCTGGTGTGGCGACACACACCTTAATCCCAGCACTTGGGAGGCAGAAGCAGGTGAATCCCACCTGATCTACAGAACAAGTTCCAGGACAGCCAGGACTGTTACACTGAGAAACTATACTTTGAGCCCCCCTCCCCCCAAAAAAGTAGTATTTCAGTAAGAAGTAAGCTGAATGGCGTGGACAAAATCATAGTTCAGTTTTGTTTTTAGCATAAATATCAAACTAGCTTTAAAGTCTGCATTCTTTTCCTCTGTTCCTAAAGTCGGTCGATAGAACAGAAGAATGTCACACCATTAAATCTTCAGCAAGATCAGAGGCTGAGAAAACAGCAGGAAAGACAGCTAGAGCCCGGGACTCTATAATCCTTGTCCAGTCTTATGTCGTTGCCCCTCCCACCCCCTTAGGGCACTAACTGTTCCTCTGTTCAGCATCTCTGGGTCTGCGAAGTTAGTGGATTCTGCATTTTTACAGCACCTGAGCAAGTGTCTGCCGTAGCCAGTGTTAGCGTCCTCTGTCTTTCCTGGCAGTATGAGACAAGACACAGGACGGAGGGTCTGTATTCCTCACAGTGAAGCCACTTACGGAAATACACAGCAGTGTTAGTCGGGTCACATGTGCACAGCATGCTCCCGTGTGCACCCTGCCACAGCCGTGCACGTGGGACCATGCAGAGTGTCATGGTCCAGTGTAATATCAGGTTGAGAAATGGTCTTTTAAAGGACCAAAGAAATAGCAGGTAAATACTTGACCTATTTTTTTTTTAAACTTAAATTTGTGTAAAATATTTATTTGACTGACTTAATATGTAAAAAATTGTGGTCTTAACTTGTTATACCAGCATACAGATAAGTTTTAATGTGAATTTTTTCTTTTGTTTTTACCAGTAGTAAAAAAGTGGAAAAGCAAGTGTGATATTTTTGTAAGATAATTTATTTGGGGCTTATATTCCCTTTCGACAATCATGGCCTTTCCTCCTTCCCTTGTTTTGTGTAAGTGTGTGCCTTTTCTCATGTTAACCATGGCCTTTTCTCCTTCCCTGTTTTGTGTAAGTGCCTTTTCTCATGTTAATAAGTTCTCAAGTGTAGGTGCCTTTATCCAGCCTTTCGAAACAAAATAAAAAATCAGAAATTAACAGTGTATATTTTGTATTTTTGTGTGTGTGTGAGTATCCTTTTTTTTTTTTAAGATTTACTTATTTTTATTACATATACAATGTTCTGTCTGAATGTATGCTGCAGGCCAGAAGAGGGCGCCAGATCCCATTACAGATGGTTGTGAGCCACCATGTGGTTGCCGGGAATTGAACTCAGGACTTCTGGAAGAGCAGTCAGTGCTCTATCTTTTACATGGCTGCTTATCCGTGCTTATGCTCTGTGCCTCATCTCACACCTAGCGTGGCGCCCTGCATGGGACATGTGCACAATAAATGTGGATTGAGTGGATGGAGATGGGTCATTTCTCCAGACATCTTCAGCTCCAGAATTCTTTCCACTCCTTAAATAGATGGTACTGTGTGTGGGTTTGGGTTTTGTTTCTAAGACCCAATGTCTCTATGTAGCCCTGGTTAGCCTGGAACTCAATATGTAGACCAGGCTGGCCTTGAATATAGAGATCTTCCTGGCAGGAGTCAGTGCCCTCTACCTTGTGGGTCCAAGGGATCTAACTCAGAGCATCAGCCTTGGTGCCAGATGCTCACTTTATCTGTGAGCCATCAAGACTGTACCCCTTTCTTGTAGTCTTCAGTCAGTCATCTGGGAACGGCAAGGCAAGACCCCAAAGCAGGAGCTTAGGGAAGAAACCACAGAGGAATGCTGCTTGCAGGCTTGCTCCCCAGACTCAGTTATCTTTGTTTTTGTTTCTTCAGACAGGGATTCTCTGTGTAGCTTTGGCTGTTTGTCCTAGAACTCAGAGGTTTGCCTGCCTCTGCCTCCCAAGTGCTGGGATCAAAAGTATGCACCACCAGTGCCTGGCCAGCCATCTTTCAGATACAGCCCAGAATAACCCCAAGGATAGCAGGCTCACAGTGACTCAGCCCTCCTACACCAGTCACTAATCAAGAAAACACTGATAGCCATGCCCACAGGCCAGTATCATTGAGTCTATTCCTCAAGTGTGATTCACTCTTCCCAGGCACTTCTAGGTCTGTGTGAGTTGATGGACACTGTGATGAAAGAGACTCAAGCTGGCCATGAAACATTCCTGATGGCTTCAAGCTGGAGGATCATAGACCCAGACTGTTGTCCCTGGAGAGAAATAGGACATGCACATTTTAAGGAGGGCATTGGCAAAATGCAGCTGGTTTGAAAGAGTCTGGGTGTGGTGGTGCACCAACAGGAGAATCTCCTAGTTAGAAGCCATCCTGTTCCTAGGAAAATCTGATAGGTTCTCTGGATTTCCTGTTTTCTCAGTAGTTCTGTATGAACCAGAAGGTTTCAGGTGAGGGTCCCCTTGTCTCTTCATTTTTTTTTTTTTAACAGTCCTAGCTGTCTTGGAACTCACTCCATGGACCAGGCTGGCCTCAAACTCAGAGATCTGCCTTCCTCTGCCTTCCAATTGCTGGGATTAAAGGTGTGCACCACCACCACCTGGCTTCATTCCCTTCATTCTTTACCCATGCAACTGTATTATGCTTACAAGTGTGTCTTTACAGATCTTGATATTTTTTATTCATGCATTAAAATTTTCTTTTTTTTTTTTAAAGATTTATTTATTTATTATGTATACAACATTCCTTCCATGTATGTTTGTATGCCAGAAGAGGGCACCAGATCTCATTATAGATGGTTGTGAGCCACCATGTGGTTGCTGGGAATTGAACTCAGGACCTCTGGAAGAGCAATCAGTGTGCTCTTAACCTCTGAGCCATCTCTCCAGCCCCCTGCATTAAAATTTTCTAAATGGAGTCCAGGGAGTCTGCAGAGATGACTTGTAGTTTTTCAGAATCTCACTTAGAAAGAGTAGCTAGCCAGGTCGGGTAGCATCCCCCTGTAATCCCAGCCCTCAGTAAGTAGATGAAGGCAGAATGACCAGAAATTCTAGGTTATTAAGCTAACATTCTTGGGAGTATTGCAAGTAAAAAGCAAGCCTGGGAGACAACTCTTTATTATATGTGGAGAAAGAAATGAGCGAGATCCTTCAGCAGGTAAAGGTACTTGCCACTAAGTTTGGGCCCCCGAGCTGTCTTCTGACCTCCACATACGCACATACACGCAAATAAAGGTGCTAGAGTAGTGACTGGTTAGAACACAAATTACCCTGGCACTGGCGGCGCACACCTTTAACCCCAGCTCTAGGGAGGCAGAGGCAGGCAGAACTCACAGAGGTAAGTTTGAGGCCAGCCTGGTCTACAGATTAAGTTCCAGGACAGCCAGGATGGTTACACAGAGAAGCCCTGTCTCAGCTGACTACCAACTGTAACTCCAGTTCCAGGAGTTCCAGCGCCCTCTTCTGACCTCTGTGGGTGCCTGCATTCACAAGCCTGTACCAATATAGACACACATGATTAAAAACCAGAGTCGCGGGCTGGAGAGATGGCTCAGCGGTTAAGAGCATTGCCTGCTCTTCCAAAGGTTCTGAGTTCAATTCCCAGCAACCACATAGTGGCTCATAACCATCTGAAATGAGGTCTGGTGCCCTCTTCTGGCCTTCAGGCATACACACAGGAAGAATATTGTATACATAATAAATAAATCGATTTAAAAAAAAAAAAAAAAAAACCAGAGTCGCCTGCCCTCAAGTTGAGTGACTTGCTAGGACACAGAACTCAGAAAAATCGCTGTTGTGTCGGGGACATGGCCTGGTGAACATGAGTGCTTTGTAAGTAATGACCCGATTTCAAATCTCCAGAGCTTGTGTAAAAACCAAATGTACTGCAAGCACCTGTTACCCAGGGCCAGCCTGCCTGCTATACCCAGCAAAGGAGACCCACTGACGCCTAAGTGTGTCCTCCCACCTCCACATCCACTCAAGATTGTTTGAACACACGTGCTTTCATCCTGTACACACAGCAAAGTTGATGGATACAGCAATCAAATACAAAAGAAAATAATATCGAGTGCTCGTGTTTTAAAGAAGCCCACCCACATCAGGCTTCGGTTTGTGTCTGAGCGCCTCTCTTTGTCTTGACCTTTATTTATGTATGAAAATATCTTTGAGGCTGGAGAGTTGGCTTAGCAGTCAGATCAGGCTCACTGACTGATCTAGAGGATTCCATTTCAAGCACCCACCTGGGAGCTGGATTTTGGATTGGGGTGCAAGTCTAGCCCCATGTGTCTTCGTTGACATTTCTAGGTAGTCACTCACTGCTTGTAGATTACCAGTCCTGCTTCTGAGTTGAGCTGTTACTTGACAGTAGAAACCTCTATCTATGAAAGGGCTGCATGTAAGTCTCAATGTCATATACAAAACCTCTTTAATATCATTCTTACAGATCTGTTGAGCACACTTCTGTGTTTGGTTTTAGATAGCCCAGCAGTTAAGAGCACTTGCTGCCTTTCCAGAGGATCTAGGCTCAGTTCCCATCACCTACATAGTGGCTCACAACCATCTGTAACTCTAAGTCCAGGGGACACAATACCCTCTTCTGAACTCTGTGGCCACTGCACACATGTGGGCTACACACATACATGTATGTATATGTTTTTAAACGCAAACATAATATAATTTTTTTTTCAAGACAGGGTTTCTCTGTGTGACAGCCCTGGCTGTCCTGGAGCTAGCTCTGAAGACCAAGCTGGCTTTAAACTCACAGAGATCGCCTGCCTATGCCTCCCAAATACTGGGAATAAAGGCGTGTGCCACCACCACCTGCTGAACTGTTTCTTGAAGTAAACACTCCCTGCAGTTTGAAGGGATGAAGCCCAGTTTTATTGAGGCTCTTATGCCCTACCTAGATGCTAATGTGTGAGATCAGAAGCTCCTGAGAGGCTTCCCTGCTTCTTCCAGCTTTCGGGAATTCCTTAGCTGTAGCCATGTGACCCCAGTCATTGCCTGTTGAAATAGGAGCAGCGGGGCTGTGTCCTGCCACCCAGCTGCCCACATGGCTAGCTTATGCCCCGAAATAATTACACGGAAACTGTATTCTTTTAAACACTGCTTGGCCCATTAGTTCCAGCCTCTTCTCAGCTAACTCTCGCACCTGGACTAATCCATTTCTAATAATCTGTGTTGCCGGGCGGTGGTGGCGCACGCCTTTAATCCCAGCACTCGGGAGGCAGAGGCAGGCGGATCTCTGTGAGTTCGAGACCAGCCTGGTCTACAAGAGCTAGTTCCAGGACAGGCTCCAAAACCACAGAGAAACCCTGTCTTGAAAAACAAAACCAAAAAAAAAAAAAATAATCTGTGTAGCCCGCGAGGTGGCTTACCAGGGAAGATCTTAACCTGCGTCTGTCTGGAGTGGAAGAACCATGGCGACTCCTGACTCAGTTTCTTTCTCTCAGCATTCTGTTCTGTCTACTCCACCTACCTAATTTTCTGTCCTATCAGAGGCCAAGCAGTTTCTTTATTACTTAGCCAATGAAACAACAGATAGAAAGATGACCCTCCTCCATCAATTGCCTGTGTCTGTACATGGTTGGTGCTCACATTTATTTAGATACTGTGTGTGTGTGTGTGTGTGTTTGTGCGTGTGTGTGCCTGTCTGCACATCTGTATGCCATGACATCTCTGTGAAGGCTTGAGGAAGTGGGTCCTGGGAATAGAACTCAAGTCACCAGGCTTAGCAGCAACTGCTTTTACCCACATAGTGATCTCAACAGCCCCTTCTGTCTCATGGATTTAGGAACCTGTCAAAACCACAAGTTGGAACATCATCTGTCACAGTCCAGCCTGGATGGGTTCGTATGTTCAAGGTTGAAGTAGAGTATGTTTAGGCAGAGTAAGCAGTGACAGGAGGGCCCTCCAGTGCA